CGCCGCTCCGCGCCCCGTGCTGCCACATGCCATCCCACTGGCAGCCAGTGTCGCAACTACACCTTGACCTCTTCCCCGGGGTCCCGCCACCGGGCAGCGGGCGTGGGAAGGACATCCGCCCTGAAGTTCATGGCGACACTTTTCTTGTTCGGATCCCTGCTGCCAAGGACACCGAGAGTCGAGGAGAGGGATCCCGGCTTGGCGGTTTTGCTGTCTGTTCCCTTTTCATTTTGTCTTTTCCGTGCAATTTTTTTTAATGACTTTTTCTCCTCGATGGCTTTTCAGAGACTTCTCTTGAAAGAAATGGAAGAGCTTGTTCTTCACAGTACAGTTTTCAAAAATCATGGCTGCTCTTTCGATGGGGCACGTAATTAACTTTTCTGGTTTTTTTTTTCTCTTTGTTTTGTTTTTTAGGGTTTGTTTGTTTTCTAAGTATGATGATGACCTTACAAAGTCATGGAGGAATGAAAGAGCCTACCATCTGAATCATTTTGGCAGAAGAAAGACAAGCTGATTCTACTGCTCTCCTGGCTCCTACCCAAACAATAATAAATATTTTTATTTATTTTGAAATATTTATTTGCCCCCTTTGGCTGTAAGCTCCATGTACAGAAGAACTTTGTGTCTATTGTTTTCAACACAGTACACATTTGTTGAGTGAGGTGGTGAGCTGCAAACTGTAATAGAATGAGATTAAAATTTGGAGCATGGGAAAGATATCTGGTAAGGCCGATAAACTTTTCCGCAAAGAAAATAATAGCTGGAAGTTCTACCTTCTTATTCACAAAATGCAAAATGAATCTGAGAGCAGAGAAAGAAATTTGACAATTTTGGCAAAGAGAGCTTCCTCTTTTCTCAAATCCTGTCAGAGCTAATAAATTTTTTTTTTTGAGTCCTTAAGTCCTAGAAGCTAGTAGGCAATCCTAGCACTATGTAGGAAACATTACAATAGTTTCTATTTGAGTTGCTTTACCCTATAACATAAAAACATCTACTCGGAATAGGTTAGTTAAAAGCATAGCTGCTAGCTTTTCAATACCCAGTATCCCCAGCAGAAAAGAAAAAAATATATATTAACCTCAATTTTTGATTTCCAGCAAACCTTGTCTTCAAAAGAAAGCTCTCATATGAACAACCACTTCCCTTTTTCTTTATCACTGAGACTTTAAATGTCACAAATGTCCCTGAATCTATGACTGTTAAGCACTTACAAGAGTGTCTGACCCTGTATCCTGATTATGATGACCCACAAACTTACTGGACCTCAGGCTAGCAAAGTAGCTCACCTGGGTGTTACATAAAATTGGATATTGGCCCTGTCCTTTTTTCCAGTTTTCATCTTAGTTCAACATGTGTTCTCCACTCTGCTGATTTGTCAGAATCCCAGGTGTCTACTGTCAACCTGACTGGATCCAAACGTTACCTAGGCGACAAGCATCTAGATGCGCTATAAGGAATTATCTAGGTTTAGTTAATTGACATGAGAAGACCCACTTTAACTCAAGATGGGCCCATTCAGTGGCCTGGGATACCAGATTGGATAAAAAGGAGAAGGTGAACAAAGCATAAAACATCCACAACTTTCTGCTTCCTGACCGTGGTTGCCACATGATAGCTGTCTCGGGCTTTCTGCTTCATTCCTTGGCTGCCATGAACTTTGACCTCAAACTCTAAGCCAAAATAAACCATTCCTTAAGTTCCTATGTCAGACATTTTGTGTGAGGATTGTGTAAAGTAACTAATACAGTATCTATTGATCCTACCACAACTGTTATGAGCTTTTAAATACACGCCTGCAAGGATTGCTGGACAACTATTTCCATCTCTAACTTTGGGTAAATTGATGTTTCTGAGCTTTCATTTCTGTATATACAATATCCTCCACATTTGATCCACATCTTAGGGTACAAATGTCCATGCGATACTTAGTGCCATGCCTAATGCACAATGAACACTCGGTAAATGTTAGTAAAGCAAAAGTCCGCCATTGTGCATGTCTATTTTAGTAGTATGGTTCCTGGTAATTCCATGTAACAACAATCAGAACACTTCTGTACTGACTGAAATAGAAGTTTTCAATGTCTGCCAAAGATATCGATCACATTGTGAGTTAATGTGGATCAAAGGCTTTACTGTTCACAGTTCTTGGTCATTTCAGTACTTTGGGTTTTGAATGAACTAGGAACTAAAGGTCTTCTGTCTCCAAGTTACACAAAGCTTAGGCTCTCAGAACCTCAATGCATTCTTTTAAAATGTTAACATATTGCCTTCCCCACTTGGCAAACAACTAATATTTAAGAAATTTTTATGAGAACAGTGAATAATACATAGTATATGAAAATGGCATCCAAGTATGGTATTTACATGTTGGTTGCTCCCACACATGAATAAAACATGACAATTATACTAATATGCAAATTTATGTTTTACAAGAGTTTTGTAACCATGATCTCATTTGGTCTACAAAACAAACAACAAAACCCTTTCTTTCAGGATGCTAAGGGCATGATTTATTGTAGGGAACTAATATGGGATTGTAATTCCTCTTGGTTTTGGTGTTTAAAACAGACATGACACTTTCTCAGGAAACCTTCCCAGCCCCAGCCACTGATCATCTGTGACTTGCCTCTTATTTTCCAAATGAATCTTATTCCAGCTTCCAGACTGGCTGAGTGTTAAAGTATAGAGCTATATCTTAATTGCACCCAGACCCAGATACTTGGCATGGAATACAATCTCAGACTTACTGGGCTCCATGGCTTCTGAAAACTGGAGTGAGGAAGGCATTTATGATCGGCTGTCCTGTACAATCTTGGCATCAGCTTTCATTGAAAAACTTTGTATAGAATTTTTGAAACCCAATATTATAATCAAAGATACCACTTGTGGTTTATTTCCTTGAAGAATATCCTTTCTGATCCTAGTACTAAACGTAGTTCTGATTTTCCAGGTCAATAGATTTAATTTTGATTTTTTTCTTTTTGGGGGGGGGTAGATTCTGTGGCTTTGGAAGCTATCCTGGAACCAACTCTGTTTACCAGACTGGTCTTGAACTCACAGAGATCCTCCTTCTTCTGCCTCCCAAGAGCTGGGACTAAAGGTGTGTGGTACCACGTCTGGCTTTTTTTTTTTTTTCTTACTGAAATGAAATTCACAAACATAAAATTAGCCATTTTAAAGTGTACAAACAGTATTTAGCACACTGATAGTACTGTGCAACTATCACCTCTATCTAGTCCCCAAAATATTTTCATCACTCCCAAAAGAGACCCTTAACTCATTAGAAACCCACTCCCCATTTCCTTCTTTCCCTACATGCAAACAGCCATTATCAGTTTCTTGCCTTCACGGATATAACACTTCTGAATACACCATGTGAGTAGAATCAAAAGTTACGTTATTTATTTAGGTTTTTCAAGACAGGGTTTCTCTGTAGTTTTGGAGCCTCTCCTGGCACTCACTCTATAGACCAGGCTGGCCTTGAACTCACGGAGATTCGCCTGCCTCTGCCTCCCGAGTGCTAGGATTAAAGGAGTGTGCCACCACTGCCCAGTTCCATGTTGTAACATCTTTTTATATGATAATATTCCATTAAATGAACATGCCACATTTTATTTCTCTATTCTCCCATTGGC